CCAAGGAGTGCTCTGACTTCTCCTCCTCCATCCCACAGCCGCACAAGAACCTACCAGCTCTTGCCCAACCTCTTTTCCAAGAGCAGAAGGATATCTGAGAAAACATCTCTCCGTGAGCACGACCTAAAAATCGATCTTTATGACGTGGCGATGGATAGAAGGGATCCAGTGCACACCCCAGCTGCTCCAAAGTTCTGTCCTCTTGTCAATCTGAGTCCCATCTTCAAAAAGAGTGGTGAAACCAAAGAAGGGGGTGGAAGTCTACTCTGTGACCAGGGCCCACAGAGCCACGGGCATCCCCGGTAAGGTTTGCCGACGCGGAGGGAGCAGCTGGAGAGGCTCAGAACAGGAGTCTGGATGAGATTATCACGAAGCTCAGGAAGGGACAGGACATTTTAGAGCCCCTACGACTTAGTTATTAAAGCGCTTTGAAATAAGTGAGGTACAGGCACCTCAACATCTTTGGGAACTATGGCCCAGGGGATATTTCCAGATTTCAGATCTAAAAAAGACCCTTGGAAGAAATTTTTCACTATTTAATTTGGGTTTTAAGCCCAACTGCCCTGAAGAGGGAAAAAAAAAAAAAAGAGAAGGAAAATCCGGGGCAGAATCCATGCTAATGACATGATGCTGAAGTGTTTCCAAAAGAAATGTTAATTTTTTTATCTGGCTAAAGGACAATTTCTGCCTTTAGAAGCACATGAGAGGTACTCACTGAACTCCAGGGAGCGTGTTATATCCATCAAACACATTCTGGAGTTACTTTTCCATTGAAGTGTAAAGAATAAATAACGGTGACAACTATTTGGGAAGTACTTCCCTTTGTGCACAAGTCTCTCCCTCCTTAAGTCTCAAAACACTCGAGCCGTCACGGAACGCAACACGTTACGAATTCTCACAACACATAAATGTCTCGGGTGGGGAAACAGCAGCCAAACACCATGACAGGAGTGGGTGAAGGTCAGCCAGTGGGCTGAGCAGAGAAGAACTTCTTGAGAATCAGTGCAGCTGAAACAGGGCCCACGTAGCCCTTTTGGCCAAGAGAAAAGAATGAATGAGAAACGAAGTCAAGGAAGAATTTGACATTGACCAGCTGCTGAAACAAGAGGCGGCTGTTGGAAGCATGTGGTGCAGTAAAAATAGATGCAAAGCAGAGGTGGAAGGCGGATGTACGCTCTAAACAGAGACCATTTAACCCCTTCAGTTGAGTCTCATCGTGCTGAAGGAGGCACCGACCACAGCAATGCCATCCCGTCAATCCTACTGGCTTCTTGGCATTTCTACGCCTTCGGAACCGACGGAGACAGGTACTCAGAATAAAACACTACGCTTCGTTACTTGGTCAACTGGAACACAGGAACAAAGTGTACGGTTGCCCACCCGCAGAGGCACTCCCAACAGTCCGGCGTTGACCCGCTCGTCTCCCACGCCACGTGAGAGCGGTCAGGTCAGAGTGTGGAACCTCAATCGTACCGTGGGCCAGCCTGGAAACACATTTGCGTGCTACCATGACCCTCAGCGTCATGGTGCCTACCTGCAGCAAACGGGTTCAGGGCTGGTGCCCGGAATCCAGAGCATCCCTCCTGCCACGCACAGGGTGACTGAAGCACCCAAGCAACAAGGGCTGAAGACGTGTCCACCTCGTGTTTTGCCTCCCATACTGGAGGACGGCTACAGTCCAGGATCCCTCTCCTCAAAGCAAACCTGTTGATCTTCTCAAAGGTCCCGAAGGAGTGGTGGCCACAGAGGTGGTAAGTGCTAGCTATAGACATCAACCCAAGTAACTCTCACACGTTTCACCTCCAACAGCCGTTCCCTTCTTCTAACAGAAAGCAGATGCCTCCCAAGCAAACAGCGGGGAGGACACAATGGAAGGCCCCAGAGAACATGCAGGAAAGAACGTAATTTCTTAATCCCAACTGAAAACAAACACAAGTCGCTTGCTGGGTGCCCGGTCCTGCCATGACCTGGGCATCCTCCAGACATCTGAAGCATCCGGCTGATTTAAGGGCAAAAAAACCTGAAGCACCTACAAATTTTATGCCTGAGGCTAAAGGGAAACAAGCAGGGGGTTCTCAGAGTGCAACAGTTTAGCTGGAGCTCCTGACCACCACCTCTCTTGGCTCTGGTCCTCCACCCCGTGCATATTACCCACCCAGCCCGCTGCCTGCTCAAGGCTTGGGAGAATCCGCAAGCCAAAAGCAAAGCTTGGTGATGCCCAAGAGAACCTTCCCTTCCCTGCAGCGTGCTCTGGAAGAGGCTCCTCTATCTTCAGCATGGACCAACCACCTCATCTGGCCACGCCGAGCTCCTTCCCCACAACTGGGATGTCCTTAGGGTGCTCTCCAAAGCACAGTCCCTCTCTTCGCTCTGCTGGACCCCCGCAAGGATGTTGACTGAAAAGCTGCACGCCCAGGACTTGCCCTCGGTACCACGGTACTGGATAATCCCCGCGTTATCCAGGCACTCGTACGTGACAAGACACATCAGCAAGAGCGATACGCGTTCTTCACGTGCACATACGCACCTTTTGCAAAAGCAAAGGGTGATGAAAAGTAGGAAATGTTAATGAAGTAAGAGGTGAGGGAGAACTGTTAGGGTGAGTTTTAGAAGCAGCACACAGAAAGCTAAGAGGCCTTAAACGTAGCAAGAAGAATATAATTTCTTGGCTTGTTTTTGTTTCTGGGTATTTTAAAATAGCCACTTTTAGACAAATTTCCAGATGGCAACAGGAGGCAGGTGACGCAGCTCCAAGACATGACAACAGGCTTCAACCTCCTCTTTTAGGATTACCACTAGGAAGAAGGCTGCACATCTCAACGTACGGCTACGGGCAGAGTCACTGCCAAGGCCTCTATAGCTGCCTGCAGCCCCGCACACACGCACCTGTACGGACACCACTATAGACATGGCACTACCTATTACGCTATTTTCAGACAAAAAGACAGATATATTCACCACATCCACCACAAAACAACGTCAGGATTAATGAAGCAAGGTGGAAAACAGCTTTACCCACACTGGACGATGACTGTAGGGCAATAAAATGCAAGCTAGGTGTTCCTACCACGTAACTTTTGATTATGGGTGCCATCAACACCATCTGTTACAGAAATCAAACGCGCATGGAAGCTTCGTCTCTGCCCAAACGTTCAGGCACGGTTGGAGTTTTTTGTAAATCTCTCTTTCCTACCATTGTTCCTACATGGTCTCCTACGCGGCAGCGATGAGAGCATCTCTCTGCCTCCCCCTGTGCCCCCACGTCCTGCTGCCACCTCCTCTCCTCTCCCACTCAGTCCAGTGAAGATACGGTTAGAGCGACGTGCCACGGCCAAAGCAGCCTTCAGAGCCCACCACTGATGGGTCACCATCAGCACGGGTCTCGCTACGCTAACGGTGGGTTAGAGAAGCATTGTCAAGGCAACGCAGTTAGTTTTCGGCGGGCGGGTTTGGTGGGCTGCTGTAAAAGGGGAGGCTATAGCCAGTTAGCCTCTGCATTACCATTATCGGGGTTGGTAAACATCCTACTTGCACTGGAGACGGTCTTTCCAATGTCAGCCAGGGAGCGCAGGTTGGATTTCTTGGTCTGGTGCCGGTGCTTCCTGAGCAGCGTGTAGGTGACTTTGTCCTTCAGTTCCGATTTCAAAAGCCCCGTCTCGATCTGATTGTCGACGATCATTTCTGCGGCAAGCAAAGACAGGGGTGAGGGACAGGAGAGGACATCAATCGCAACGCGCAAAAAGCAGCTGCATCAAGGGAGAGCAGGAGGAGAGAGACGAACCCTTTTCACCCTACCTTTTTGAAGGCTTTCCTTCCCACCTCAAAACCACCACCAGATTTCACCAGTTTATTTTTAATGGGAGTCTCTTTTAGGTATTTCTTTGGAAACAGAGCATAAAGATTTTCCATCCAGCAAAGCCCATACGTACCTACTGCATCGAGACTCCCTTCTGTTACTCTCACACACGTCACTATGCCTATTTCAAATCAACCCTACCTAGGATAAAATTGGTCAAACATTGGAACAGGTTGCCCAGGGAACTGGTGGAGTCACCATGCCTCAAAGTGTTCAAAAAACGTGGAGATGTAGCACTTCAGGACATGGTTTAGTGGGCATGGTGGTATTGGGTTGATGGTTGGACTCGATGATCCTAGAGGTCCTTTCCAACCTTAATGATTCTATGAATCTTTAAAATGGCTCTTGGTTCAGAAAGGGAATTTGCTCTGACCCTTGATTTTTGCCAAGAAGCTACAACTACACTGCAAGTTCCAGTAGGTTCCAAAAATACCATGACAAAACTTCTCTCAGATTCAACAAGGCTTGAGTTCACCTCGCAAGCCCCCAATAAAACCTAATCTAATGACGGGAAATGGTCCTGGGGATGAGTAACTAATTAAATCACTCGCTCTTAGAACTCAAGTAAAATGACAGCAACTACAAAAGGCAGAACTGGCTCCAATTGTCACAGGACGTACGACATGGCTTTGCCTTCAACCCAACAACCAGGCAAAAAGGCTCCCAGTTCACTGCCAAGACCCGCTCGCTCTCCGTCAGTCCTCTCCTTTCTGCTCCCCCGTCCCAGAGGAGAAAGAAAGAAAAAAAAGTAGCCAGATTTATGAACAATCTCCATTGTGCGTTAAATCTTGCATTAAGCTGTTCCCTTGATGACTTCAGTGAACGTGCTGTCCCCCCAGGGAAAGTGGCAGCTCTTATTTGTCTACCGGTAACTTTTATTTGTGCTAATAATAAAAGTTATGGGAAAAGGGAGGCAGAACGCGTGGCACGTTTGCCAACTCAGTGAGTCAGAAAGTTGTCTTCTACACGCCGCCCGACAACGAGTGCCTCTCCGAATCACGAGGGCCAACGGCCACGTTCTTCCACCCAAGCTCGGAAGAACGCGTCGGTACGGCTACGCGAAACGCTTGGCAAAAGGCTTATTTTCACAACGGGCCATTTTTCTGTAAGCTTTCCTTGTTCCTGGTTTTTGCTAGTGATTTTTGGAATGCTCCCTTCAGAACAACACATCTGTCTTCACTGAGTTTGCCCTTCTCATGGGTCCCTGCCCATGGCAGGGGGGTTGGAACTAGATGATCTTTGAGGTCCCTTCCAAACCTAACCATTCTACGATTCCATAATTGTCCACCTGGCGAGTGTTTCTTCCCTTCCGTGTTGCTGATTTAACACAAACCAACAAAGACCAAGAGCTCTTGGGTGTTTTTCTTTCCTGCGTGTCACTACTAGACACCCACCAAGCGACTGTGATTAAATAATTCTGGAAACCAAGTCTGCAGGCCTCTTGGACATCCCCATCTATCTGATTGAGGACCTGGATCTGCAAAAATACCCGACTCGGGACAGCGTTACAGCAACGGCAGCCACTGATCTGTAATTTAATTTCCCAGGAATTAGATTTAATTTGAGTGCTGAAGAAGGATATTGAAGGTGACACCTTGAAACGACTTCAAAAAGAAATCTAATGTTTGAGGGTTAGAGCTGGGGACCCCTGACACCAGCTGCTATCTTCTGAAGCGCGTTCAGCGTCAGCACAAAACTTGTGAGGTTGACAGCTGCTTTTTTTGAAAAAACTTTGTAAAACTGTGCGTTTGGATCCACAGACACAAAAATAAAGGAAGATACACGGCACCGTAAGCACCTACAAAACTAAGCTCAAAACTGCAGATAACATCAGAGGCAGCTTTTGTCATTCTGAGTCTTCCAGACTAGTGCAACACCTGATACTTGATAATTTCATGCCTGGAGAATTTGGAGCTTCCTGAGATTAGAATTCCAAGCCCTGACTTTTGTGGGGGGTTTATTTCATTTTGCTCTTTTACGTCCTGTCACGTAACGGCTTCTAAACTCAGTGTTTTGGCTAAATGCACCTCCACCGGACAGCTCACTTCTAAAATTTATTTTTGCATGTCTTCTCGCACGTCCCCGGGAACACGACATCGCTCTCAGCAATGTCACGCCGCGTCATCCGAGGCCACGGCTATTTTGACCACCAAAAAAAAAAAAATCGCTGTCCCATTCAGTAGAGCGCAGCGTCAGCTGGAACCACGGCTGCTCCTCACTCTCCTTGGCTGGTGGGGAGTCCCCCATCCTCAACAGAGCCTCACCTGCCTTCTGAGCCCACCTAGGACCTCACCCCGGGGCAGCCTGTTGTTCTTGGAGGACTATTTCTTTATTTTCCTCTTTTATTGAAAAAGTAGCGCTTGTTCGTTCAAACCGTCAGCGAAACCATCATCAGAGTTAATAAAAATTTGTAGGCATGAGGAGAACAGCCAAGGTGGCTTTACTTACCCACCACCTGTGGGAGAGAAGAGGCCTCCATATCCAGCATTATCGAGCCTTTCTCTATACACGTCCTCAACTCAAACAAGCTGTGCAGGGACAAGGTGGCCACGTGAGGTTTGCTCCATCGCTCCCCACCTTGTTCTACCTTCTCCTCAAACTTGATCCACCTACGAGAGAGCAGAAGGACGAGACTGCGTTAAAAGTCGTTGGCTCCTCGCCGACACACGCGTCTCTGGAAGAAGGGAGAGAGCTGGACCATCGCGGTATGGTGCCAAGTTCAACCGCACGTGGATTGTCACCGAGGCCACAAACCCATGATCAAGTTGCAAAGGCTTAATGAATCGGTATGTGACAGCCGGGCAGCGATAACGCTCTGCCTGTTGCTAAACCATGGTGAAGGTGTGGTGAAACACCTTATCTTTCACAGCTTTCACCAAGACTTGAACTAACACCCCGGTGCTGATGTTTGCTCCGGGCCAAGAGTACACAGGCAGCTTCAGTGACTCGGCAGAGACGCGGTTGTCCCCACCTAGGTTTGCGCACCCAGTCCCTAACCCGACACCGCGTCCAACCGACCACAACGGCGCGACCGGCCGCTTCGCCAGACCCCAACGGAGAGAAAAGTCAGGTCGTGCACTCATACTTAACTCATCTCGAGGGACAAGGGCTGTCCCCCCAGCTCCACAAAAAGGATGAATGGAAAAAAAAAAACCCCAAATCAGCCTTTCTGGAAATAAAGTGACTTGTATTCAACTACTCAAATCCAGCAAATAAAATCTGAACACTTCAGCGACTGCCAAAATTCAGCCGCACTGAATAATGGAAGTCCTTTTTTTCCTATTCAAGCTCTTTTTTTTCCCCCAAAATATATGTTTTTTATACATACATATTCCATATAACTCTCTTTTGGTCAAAGACCCGTCTATAAAACAATCCCTGGAACTGCAAGTCCCCCTTTCCCTATTCAAGCTCTTTTTTTTTCCGAAATATGGTTGGATATGTTTGGAAATTCCAGTACGTCCAAAAGGAGGAGGACCACGGAGATGACCCGAGGGCTGGAGCACTTCTGCTACAAAGGCAGGCTTAGGGAGGTGGGGTTGTTTAGCCGAGAAGAGAAGGCTCCGGGGTGATCTTATTGCAGCCTTCCAGTACCTAAAGGGGGCTACAGGAAAGCTGGAGAGGGGCTTTTTACAAGGGTGTGTAGTGACAGGACAAGGGGTGATGGCTTTAAACTGAAAGACGGGAGATTTTCATTAGAGATAAGGAAGAAATTCTTCTCTCTGAGGGTGGTGAAACACTGGAACAGGTTGCCCAGAGAAGCTGTGGCTGCCCCATCCCTGGAAGTGTTCAAGGCCAGGTTGGATGAGGCTTTGAGCAACCTGGTGTAGTGGAAGGTGTCCCTGCCCATGGCAGGGGGGGTGGAACTAGATGATCTTGAAGGTTCCTTCCAACCCAAACCATAAATTCTATAAATGATCATTCTGTAAGTTCTATATAATACCACTCAAAGCCCACAGGCTGGCATGAAGCAAAGGGTGGAGGAGTGCAGCACGTCCCAACCAAATCTGAGAATGTTCTTAGCAGAACGTTGAGCCGCCGAAAGAAAACACACAAATCAAGGGGCTCGCTGTTCTCCCCAGCTCTCCAGCCTTTGTTTAATGATTTAACAAAGCAGCTCTGAAAAAAACAGAGAGATCATCTCGAGTTGAAGATTTGAGCAAAGGTTAAATCCCGTTCTGTGCAAAATACTCTTCACACCCCGAAAACCATGTCCCAAGGTTTCACCTCCCCGCGTGCCGGGCTGCAGCCCCCCTCCACTGCTGGCCTTGACCGTGCCCTTGGCTCCGCTGCCCCAGCCCGGCTCCGCGCGGAGGGCTCCGGGATGGAGCAAAAGGCTCCTTCCAAAGAAAATGAAAATGAATAATAACAGGGGATGGTTAAGACACACATGTAAAGGCAAAAAAGCTCATCAAACGGTTCAAAAATCTATTATTAACACCAAGTGAAATTATATTTGATCTTGAAAAAATGTATTATTTGAGGATTACTCAATTACGCTTTTCAATCGCGATAATCTCTTTGTGAGCCTTTTTTTTTTTAAAAAGCTGCTTTTTAACCCAAGCTAGAAAACGGAATTTCATCTCAAACGACTCAGGTTCTATTTAGTTGACAACACCTCGGTATTTCCCAGGACCCCCGTGCGTTTGGAAGGCCGTACATCCCGCGTGACCGAGGTGCGCTTCACCCTCCAACGCCACAAACGCTGCGAACCCCAACGCATTTGCCTTTTCAGTGAAAGTCCACGATTCATGACTTTCACTCTTCGCCTGCTCTTGACTTTTCTCACCCTCTATCCACAACACAAACACAATAAACCCCATATTGACTCACTGACCTGTCCGAACCGCCCCCTGCCCTGCCCAGCGCATCCCTGCGCTAACTCTTTTCCTGGGGAACGTTCTCCCGTCCATCTCCCCGGCACTCCCTGATGGCGACGCGCCTGCAAACACCCTGAAATCACTTTAGACTCTTGGTTCTTGAAGTCTTGGAGACCTCAAGTCCTCTCAGGTGCTCACCATCTCCTCCACAAACCAACATGAGTATTCACTTGAGCAAAGCCCTCCACGTGGCTTCCTGTAGGTTCAACCAACGCCTTGTTCTTCATTCTTATTTAATTTTTTTCGATTTGCTTCTGCAGAACAGCTCACTGTCAACTAGAAAGCGGCACAGGAAGAAAGAGTTGGATTTCCAGGGTGGAGGGGAGTGGAGAGGGCAAAATTAGCCACAGAGTCCATGCTTCTGCTGGTGTGAATACAGAATCGTGCAGCTCTCAACGCGAGCTTCTCCGAGCGCTGAAAGCCACGCTGCCGGCAGCGGGGCAGCAACGCGCCGCTTCAGGGCCAAAGATTATCTCTGCTGCTACTTGAGAAAACAAACAACTGAATTGCCTTCCTCACCTCCATCCTGCTCTGCTCTTGACACTGCACATTCCTCCCGTCTGCCGGCTGTACTCCACTCGTAAACAGCGAGTAAACGCTCCCGTGACCACGTTAGTGAAGCGGCCAGGTATGACATAAACCACCCACGTTCCGTTATGCCTCTCAGGCCCCGGGAACTACGCTGACAGCTCCAGCAAGGCTCTCCTGGCACTGGGGACTTCGGAATTCAGGCACCTATCAGCATTGTTGGCTTCGAAGGGCTGAGACCTCATAGAATCATGGAATCATGGAATGGTTTGGGTTGGAAGGGACCTCAAAGATCATCCAGTTCCAACCCCCCTGCCATGGGCAGGGACGTCCTCCACTACACCAGGTTCCCCAAAGCCTCATCCAACCTGGCCTGGAACACTTCCAGGGATGGGGCAGTCACAGCTTCTCCGGGCAACCTGGCCCAGTGCCTCACCACGCCCTGAGGGAAGAATTTCTTCCTCAGATCTAATTCAAATCTCCCCTCTTTCATTCTAAAGCCATTGCCCCTTGTCCTGTCACTCACACCCTTGTCAAAAGTTTTTGTGAGTAGAAAGACTTGAAACCAAAATCTGCCACCAGCACGCCTGGTTGCCTCCAGAATAACACCCTGCACTTCCAAGGTGTGCCTGGGAGCCGACGGTACGGTCAGCGTACATATCCCGTGAAGACAGCTGGCACCTCTGCTAATGAGGATGCAGGAGCCTTCTGCTTTTTTATTTTCAGAGGTTAAAAAAAAAGAAAAAGTCCATCTACCATCCCACAGTCCTTTCACATTCCCTTTCTCTGTAATCCCATGATTTTCTACCATCTCCCTGCCTTGTAGAACGACAATCCCCACACTATGGTGGACACGTCTTGGTCATCAAATGTACTCTGCTTAGCCTCAAAATGGGCTGGTGGCCTGCAGCTGCTTCAAGTCTTTTCCTTTTCCTAGTTTGCTCTGTATCCTGTAACCACCACTGAAATGCAAATGTTCACATGTCAGTGCAAGAACTCGTCCATCCGCACCAGTTAAATCGATGACGAGCGCCAACAAAATGACCAAGGAGCACCCAGTGACCCAAATCTTCAGGTTACCTTTTAACAGCAACTAACCTTCCCTTTTACTGCTCTATCTCTAATGCATTTACAGGGCTTTGTTGTGAAACCCCGGCTACGCTCAGGGCCTTTTTCCAAAACGGTCCTTTATGGAGAACCACAGCCCAACACCCTGACGTGCTGATAGGCAACAGGATCACGCAAAGGAACGTGGCATCTTCAAGACCTAGCCATGGGCTGACCTTACCTACTGTGAGGAATGTCGCCGTGTGCAGGGGGACACCTATATCCCCTTTACACCGGGGTTGCAACATGGACAGCAGAACTCATATGCCTGTAGAAAAGGAGACTCAGGGGAGACCTCACTGCTCTCTAGAGCTACCTGAAAGGAGGTTGTAGCGACGTTAGTGTTGGTCTCTTCTCCCGGGTAGCCAGCGATAGGAGAGGTAATAGCCTCAAGTTGCACCAGGGAAGGTTTAGATTAGATATTAGGAAAAAAAATCTTTACTGAAAGAGAGGTCAAACATTGGAACAGGTTACCCAGGGAAGTGGTGGAGTCACCATGCCTGGAAGTGTTCAAAAAAAGTGGAGATGTAGCGCTTCAGGACACTGTTTAGTGGGCATTGTGGTATTGGGTTGATGGTTGGACTTGATGATCTTAGAGGTCCTTTCCAGCCTTAATGATTCTATGAATCAAGAACCAGGACTGGCAACTAAAAGTCCTCTTCTGGAAACACCTTTTCACCCCTAGCTTTAGGGTTCCTGCTAGTTTTCTGTGAGACATACGAGTTATTTTCCTATTCACCAGAACAGCTTTGGCAGGGACAGT